ATAAGGAAATTATTCACATAACGATTATTTAGTCATAACAATTACCCCTCATTCACGGAAATTTTAAAATCGTTTTAACCGGGAGGTCCACTGTACTAGGGGGGAGAGAGCACAACTTTGTAGTACCCACAGTCGAAATATAAACACATATGCAGTATAATGTGATCCTTTATTGACTACGTTTCGCCCACACAGTGGGCTTTTTTTTCAAGTCACAAACAGAACTACCTGGGGTGGAAGGAACGCGAGTATTTATGTCAAGTTCCGAATGCTGCGGTCAGGTGGGAGAAAGCTTGCCAATCTGATGATGTACCGAGTGCGGTTATAGAGTCTAAAAATCTTGGGTAGATTGGAAAGAGATTGGAAAGTTTGTGAGGCCCCCCCCAGACCTTCTACTGTTTTAAGTGGAGCGATGAGAAGTTTCTTGGCAAGTGGTTCAGCTATGTTATAGAAGCCACTATTCTGGTTGAAGTTGTCGGATATAGAAATAAGTGATGATTCCAGGATTCTTCGGTATTGAGTGTTGTCTTCTGTGGCGAAAAGTCTGAGTTTCTGTAGTTTATCAAGTGGTTGTGTGAATTACGGTGTTGTACGCAGGCATTCCTTGTGTCGTCAGACCTGCTTGCGTATTGGTGTTCTGAAATACGTGTTTGGAGGTCCCTTGATGTTTCGCCCACGTATAACTTGTTGCAGTCATTACAAGGGATTATGTATACCCCTGCAGAGGGTGGAAGCTTGTCCTGTCTATCACTGGTAATGTCCTTGATGGTCGTGGTTGTGGAGGTAGATACTTGAAATGAGGTATTGGAAAAGATGTTGGAAACGTGTTTGGCAATGGAGTTGGTGGGGAGGGACTATGTATCTCTTCTCGGCAGTGTCTTCTCTGGGTGTGTTGAAGATGTTTAATGCCCGTCGTCTGCAGTCTCTGATGAAGTGAAGAGGATAGTGGAGTTTAGAAAATACTTGTTCAATCATCGTGCATTCTTCTTCAAGAAACTCATTGCTGCAGATTCTGAGTGCATGCAGGAAGAAGCCTATAATTACACCACGTTTGGTTTTGGTGTCGTGGTGAGAGTAAAAGTGGAGAAGATCGTTTTGGTTGGTGGGTTTTCGATAGACTTTAAAACGAAGTTCGTGGTCAGCTTTGCAAAGCAGAACATCAAGGAAAGGAAGAGTGTTGTCGACTTCTTCTTAAAGTGTGAACTAGATTGAAGGCTCGACCTTGTTGAGCTTGTCTTGGAGAGCTTTAACATTGAAGCGTTTAGGAGTTATGAGGAGAATGTCGTCAACATAACGGAGCCAGGTGACAGACAAAGGAATAATGGTGGAGAAACGTTCGGCTTCTAGATGTTCCATGTATAGGTTCGCCAGGACCGCACTGAGTGGCGAACTCATGGGTAGTCCAAAAGTCTGCTGAAAGAGGTGATTTTCGAAAGAGAAACATGTAAAGCCAACACATAGTTCAACAAGGTCGATGAAATCGCTGGCTGGAATGGGAAGATCAAGTGAATCGTCAATTTTCCTGCGCAAGAGATCGATGGCTTGTGTAGTAGGTACTTTGGTGAATAGGGAAGTCACGTCAAGGCTGGAAAGTTTCTTGTTCCTGATGTTGATGTTGCGAATGCGATTGAGAAGATCACCCGAGTGTTTGAGATGTGCTGGACTGATAGTGCCCAAGAGTTTAGAGAGGTGTTTTGCGAGAATTCCTGAGAGCTAGTTGGGAGCGCTGCCTATTCCCGAGGATATGGGCCTCAGTGGGATACCTGGCTTGTGAGTTTTTGGCAGGCCGTACATCCTGGCAGGTCTGGGGTTGCTGGGTATGGTGTGCAGAAGTTTCTTTCCTTGTTCTGAGCCCCTCAGAATGCGGCGAGTCCTTTGAAGAAAAGTTTTAGTTTAGCTTAGGCCTCAAATTCGCAACAGGAATTACGAAACCAAAACAAGACCTCAATTTCATCGCCAAAAACTACAGACACAATGACTCCGACTTCCAAAAAGGCTATCTTCAAGGTATCATCTCAGCAGCCATCTCAACACGCAGCTCCCCAGTCATACCTCGACGTTACATCAATGCACTCAAAGGTTTAGCAGAAGACACGACCATCAGGGTCACCACCGCTGACAAAGGAGTTGGTGTTGTTATCATGAACACTGACGATTACAGGAACAAAATGCTCAATCTACTTAATGACCCAGATACCTACAAACCTCTCACAACTAACCAAGTGGACAAGCTTACTAAAACTTTTCTTCAAAGGACTCGCCGCATTCTGAGGGGCTCAGAACAAGGGAAGAAACTTCTGCACACCATACACAGCAACCCCAGACCTGCCAGGATGTACGGCCTGCCAAAAACTCAAGCCAGTCATCCCACTGAGGCCCATATCCTCGGGAATAGGCAGTGATCCCCACCAGCTCTCAGGAATTCTCGCAAAACACCTCTCTAAACTCTTGGGCACTATCAGTCCAGCACATCTCAAACACTCGGGTGATCTTCTCAATCGCATTCGCAACATCAACATCAGGAACAAGAAACTTTCCAGCCTTGACGTGACTTCCCTATTCACCAAAGTACCTACTACACAAGCCATCGATCTCTTGCGCAGGAAAATTGACGATTCACTTGATCTTCCCATTCCAGCCAGCGATTTCATTGACCTTGTTGAACTATGTGTTGGCTTTACGTGTTTCTCTTTCGAAAATCACCTCTTTCAGCAGACTTTTGGACTACCCATGGGTTCGCCACTCAGTGCGGTCCTGGCGAACCTATACATGGAACATCTAGAAGCCGAACGTTTCTCCACCATTATTCCTTCGTCTGTCACCTGGCTCCGTTATGTTGACGACATTCTCCTCATAACTCCTAAACTCTTCAATGTTAAAGCTCTCCAAGACAAGCTCAACCAGGTCGAGCCTTCAATCCAGTTCACACTTGAAGAAGAAGTCGACAACACTCTTCCTTTCCTTGATGTTCTGCTTTGCAAAGCTGACCACGAACTTCGTTTTAAAGGCTATCGAAAACCCACCAACCAAAACGATCTTCTCCACTTTTACTCTCACCACGACACCAAAACCAAACGTGGTGTAATTATAGGCTTCTTCCTGCGTGCACTCAGAATCTGCAGCAATGAGTTTCTTGAAGAAGAATGCACGATGATTGAACAAGTATTTTCTAAACTCCACTATCCTCGTCACTTCATCAGAGACTGCAGACGATGGGCATTAAACATCTTCAACACACCCAGAGAAGACACTGCCGAGGAGAGATACATAGCCCTCCCCACCAACTCCATTGCCAAACACGTTTCCAACATCTTTTCCAATACCTCATTTCAAGTATCTACCTCCACAACCACGACCATCAAGGACATTACCAGTGATAGACAGGACAAGCTTCCACCCTCTGCAGGGGTATACATAATCCCTTGTAATGACTACAACAAGTTATACGTGGGCGAAACATCAAGGGACCTCCAAACACGTACATTTCAGAACACCAATACGCAAGCAGGTCTGACGACACAAGGAATGCCTGCGTACAACACCGTAATTCACACAACCACTTGATAAACTACAGAAACTCAAGACTTATCGCCACAGAAGACAACACTCAATACCAAAGCCTGGAATCATCACTTATTTCTATATCCGACAACTTCAACCAGAATAGTGGCTTCTATAACATAGCTGAACCACTCGCCAAGAAACTTCTTCATCGCTATCCCACATAAGAACACTGTAGAAGGTCTGCTCACAAACTTATCCAATCTCCTTTCCAAGCTACCCAAGATTTTAGACTCTATAACCCCACTCGGTACATCATCAGATGCAGCATTCTCCACCTGACCTCAGCATTCTGAACCTGACTATAAATACTCGCGTTCCTTCCACCCCAGGTAGTTCTGTTTGTGACTTGAAAAAGCCCACTGTGTGGGCGAAACGTAGTCAATAAAGGATCACATTATACTGCATATGTGTTTATATTTCCATTGTGTCGGTATTTTATACCATTTATTTCCAGTACCCACAGTCATTGGCCAGGCTTCAAACACCTTTTATTTTACAGCAATAAAGGAATGGAACAGACTGCCCACACATGTCAAAGCCAGTCATAGCATGAACCAGTTCAAGAAGAGTGCCAAAAGGTGTCTGATGAATGTAGCTACAGAAAAGGAGGGAAATGATTTTCTATTTTTTAGCTAACATACATGTAAATTTTACCTTATTCCAAGTAATGACCCTCATATTGTAGATAGTCTTAATGACCCTTGTGTAGTAGATAGTCTTTTTAGTATGATAATAAGATGTTATCTTCATTATAGAATAATAAGAAAATATTATAACATTTATATTATAATAATAAGGTAAAAGGACCCCAATGGAAATAAGTCACTCTGTCTGAATTTTTTGGGTTATCCTAGGTTCTCTACACATATGCTGCTATGTACGATAATTCTATGTAACTGTATTTGTGTATACTTGAATAAACTTACTTACTTATTTACTTACAGTAAGGCAGGTGATCCAGCTGCATCAAGTGACCTCCAGAGAATATTTGGTAAGTGGTATCCCAAAGTTTTCTTAATAATTATACCAATTTGTGTTATATGCTTGACATTAACTTTATTAGACCTCTCCCCTCCCCTTTCTGAAAGCCAAATCCAATTTATACAATCCACAACTAAATTATATCAGAATCCCTGGTTGTGTTTAAGTTTAAATATAAAGTACAATTTTAGGCCCCGTTGATGTGAGTGAGGACTGTGGGTTGTGGGTATCATGGAGATACTCTCCTCGTGACCTAGAGTATCTAAAATTCCTACTTACCTCAGAGGTGCAACAAATGGTAAGTAATATTTAATAATAGTGAAGTTCATACTTGAAATTTCTCACACCTGGGTTATCTTGGGTGGATAACTCACTAACCTGGGTTATCCTGCTGGATAATTTACACATGTTACTATGTATAATAACTGTATTCATGTATACCTAAATAAACTTACTATGTATGACTGAGAAGCGTAAACCCGTAGGGGTGACACAGCTTGTGTCAATTTAGATGTAAAATAAGTCAGGATGTGCAGCTCCTAGGATCAAGACCCGTCTGGGTTGATGGATGATATGTATGACAAGCGGTGGTAAACCCTGAGGGGCGAGAGAGAGTCACAAATATGAGAGATAAAGAAGACTCGTCATTGTTTACAAGTTGTTGTTGGTGTTGTCCAGCTGAGTGTGTTCCAACATTTGCACTTAATTATACAAATATTATATGCAACTTCTCTCACATATTATATACATTACTTATAATATACTTCACTCTTGTATACACTAGTGCTATTCTTACCGCCTAGTCTGTCTTCAACACTACAAGGCGAAATTTAATTAATAAAAAGTTTAATTTAGGGAAGAGTTTCGGAGGAAGTGAATCCGGATTTCTCCTGACCCTTCAAGAACCCTCTTGTTATTGTTGTTGTTGTTGTTATTATTATTATTATTATTATTATTATTATTATTATTATTATTATTATTATTATTATTATTATTATTATATTATTATTATTATTATTATTATTATTATTATATTACCATTATTATCATTATTATTATTATTATTATTATTATTATTATTATTATTATTATTATTATTATTATTATTATTATTATTATTATTATTATTATTATTATTATTATTATTATTGTTATTATTGTCATTAATATCAATAATAATAATAATAATAATAATAATAATAATAATAATAATAATAATATTATTATTATTATTATTATTATTATTATTATTATTTATAATTATTATTATTATTATTAATTTTTAATATTATTATTATTGTTACTATTAATATTATTATTATTGTTGTGAAAATTTGTCTGGACTGCCTCCAAGTGAGTCGCCTACCCTGGCAAACTCGGTTGACACCTAGCTCTGAGGTCGGTACCTCAGCCTCACAAGTGGCTTATAGGACAGATTTTCACAAATGATTGATGTTGCAAGAAACTCGCCTGCATGCACGTATAAAGGACTAACTTACTTGGTGTTGCAGCATATATCCTGATCTTCAACTTCCCTAAGCTTAGCCTTAGCCCCTTTGGACTTCCCCTCAGAAACCACGTGCAACCTGGAGCCTTAATTCCTGCAATATTCAATTGATATTAGTGACCTGCCTGCACCTCAGAAATTCCTATATCCAAGAGGGTGTGTATCCCCTAGTACAACTATGCAGACACGGACACTAGCTTCTAGACTGACAAAGACGCTGGTATGTACTGGACATGCACTGCCAGCTGCATACAGGCCTACAGATCAACTCACTCACAAATTTCCCCAGACACTGGCCAGAAATCCTACGGAAAAGGTGGAGGTCTTGTCTTACTGTATGGGCCTGACGGAGGAGGTCATCTACAGTACATCGAGGTGCCTCTACCAGATTTCCCCAGGTCTCATATGTGAGGACACGTGGGGGGGGCACCGTCTGCTGATCACAGCACGTCTTGTCCAGGTGGTGTATGGTCATAGAAGAACAAGCTGATCCCTCCCAGACCCACGCCTCGTCATTCAAACTAGGGCTGCCCGTTCTCCCTAGCTAACTTAACCTAGTGTTTGTCTACATTATCGGCCTATTACTACCTATGTTAAGGTCTTAGGTCTACATTATTATTATCTACAGTTGCCTCAATAATCCTAATATTAGTGTACTAACAGTAAACTACCTACTCCTTCCCTGAAGGGTGAATCTATAAATTAATAAGTGCTTACCATCCACGCCAACTTGGGGGAGAACACTTTTGTTTGGGTGGGTTTAAGGGCCACCCAGCTCAGCCGTTCCATTACGGCCTTGCTGGGACCCCTTCATATGCTGTATCTGTCCTGTGGAACTTTAGGGACCAAATAAATTTCCACATCCTCCCGGCGAAGGTAGGTGCTAAGTCTAGATCAAGTCTGCCTCCCGCAGGCCCTCCCAGTGGGCCCTGGACTTTAGCGCCGTTCGACGGGTCGTCCGGCCACTCGGCTCAGTCAGCCTGTTGTCTAACTTCTCATGTCCCGGTCCCACCATGTGGACTTCAAGAGGTAAAAGGCTGTTGATGGGTCTTATAGTCTCGACACCATTCATTCTCACCTTCACCATTCTCAACCACCCAGCCTTGTCTGGGTGGGTCGACACTACCAGGCCAAGAGGCCAGTATGCCCTGGGCACCTCGGATTCTACTAGCACCAGGTCCCCTTCACTTAGCATCATCTTATTTGCCTCGGGGTCTGCACCATAGAAATGTTCCCGCAGGGCTGTCAAGTAATCCCTGCGCCACACCTGGTTCCAGGATGTTCACCAGTCTGTTGTGACTCCTGTGCAGTTCTTCATTGATGGGGGGACCATCTGGCCCATAATAATCCAGCTCCTTGGAAGACTGACTCAAAATTGCGGGGAAGGGCTCAATCCTCCTTCCAAACAGCATGTGATTGGGGGTGAGAGCTTCCTGCTCGTCAATCCCATTTTGCACGTAGGTCAGAGGCCTGTTATTGACTCTTGCCTCTATCTCAGCTAACACTGTCATCAGTTCATCAAAGCTCACTCTCCTGCCGTGCAAGACCTTTCGAATGCACCCTTTGACTGTGCCCACCATGCGTTCATAGAATCCCCCTTGCCAAGGCGCTCTGGGAGCTATGAACCTCCACTCACACTCTGTTCTCTTCAGGTATTCTCGTACTTCTCCGTTGTCCCTGAGATTCCTGAAAACTTTATCGGCCGCTCTGAAGCTCATGCCATTGTCCGAGATAATCAATCGCGGGCACGAGAATCTGGCTGTAAACCTCCTGAACAACTTCACGAAACTCCAAATGTACGGCTCGAGTAGTGGCACAAGTAAACAGACAGACATATATTTTCTGAGGGCCCACCCTATCGTCTCCTGGGTTCTTCAACGTGATAGCCCCAGTATAGTCTATTCCCACAGTCTCAAAGGGCCTGTCACTATGTACCCGCTCCTGAGGCAGCGGTGGTGGACCCGGGTATGGTAGGGTCCTCCCATCGTACCGCGGGCAGACCGTGCAACTCTTTAGCACCCTTTTGACGGCAGCTCGGCCCTTCAGTACCCAGTAATTCTGACGTAGGCAGGTGAGGGTATCTCCAAACCCCCCATGTAAGGTCCTCTGATGGGCATCTTGTATCAATAGCTCTGACGCCCATCCCTCCTTACTCACATTATTATTATTATTATTATTATTATTATTATTATTATTATTATTATTATTATTATTATTATTATTATTATTGTCATTATTAATGTTATTATTATTATTTTCATTATTGTTGTTGTTATTATTATTATTATTATTTGTACACAACACATTAAAATACGTGTACACAACACATTAAAATACGTGTACATAACACATTAAAATACGTGTAAATAACACATTAAAATGTGTACATGGCACATTGCAATGTGTACACAACACATTAAAATGTGTCAACGACACATTAAAATATGTGCACACAGCACATTAAAATATGCGTGCATAAGACATTAAAATATGTGTACATGTTGTTGAAGAGGCATATAATGTGTTTACAATTTAGGTCATAACTTATAAATTACAACTGATGTTTTTATTACATCACTGCGAGTCAAGTCTGGACTGACCTAATTTATTTTTTCGTTAAGACCGAGTCTCTTGACCTGAAGAAATGTAAAGTTGTAAAACTTACGTAGGTTTGTGTTGATAAGTTTATTCAGGTATACACAAGGTAAGTTTATTCAGGTATACACTGGGTTTATTCAGGTATACACAGATTATCATACATAGCAGCATATGTGTACAGAACCCAGGAAATTAAAAAAAAATCAGAGTGACTTGCATCGAGTTGGGTCCTTTGGTGCACATTTTTATGAATTCATTATAATCACGATGACAACTTATTAAGAGAATGGAGTGCTGTCTGGGGTGTTGTCTGGGGTGCTGTCTGGGGTGCTGTTTGGGGGTGCTGTCTGGGGTGCTGTCTGGGGGTGCTGCCTGGGGTGCTGTCTACGGGTGCTGTCTGGGGGTGTTGTCTGGGGTTGCTGTCTGGGGTGCTGTTTGGAGTGCTGTTTGGGGTGCTGTCTGGTGGTGCTGTCTGGGGTGCTGTCTGGGTTGCTGTCTATGGGTGCTGTCTGGGGGTGTTATCTGGGGTTGCTGTCTGGGGGTGCTGTTTGGGGTGCTGTCTGGGGGTGCTGTCTGGGGTGCTGTCTAGGGATGCTGTCTGGGGGTGCTGTCTGGGGGTGCTATCTGGGGTGCTGTCTATGGGTGCTATCTGGGATGTTGTCAGGGGTTGCTGTCTGTGGGGGCTGTCTGGGGTTTTGTCTGGGGTGCTGTTTATGGGTGCTGTCTGGGGTTGCTGTTTGAGGGTGCTGTCTGGGGTGCTGTCTGGGGTGGTGTCTGGGGTGCTGTCTGGGGTGCTGTGTGGGGTGCTGTATATTGGTGCTGTCTGGGGGCGCTGTCTGGGGGTGCTGTCTGAGGGTGCTTCCTGGGGTGCTGTCTAGGGTGCTGTCTGGGGTACTGCCTGGGGTTCTGTCTATGGGTGCTGTCTGGGGGTGTTGTCTGAGGTTGCTGTCTGAGGGTGCTGTCTGGGGGTGCTGTCTATGGGTGCTGTCTGGGGGTATTGTCTAGGGTTGCTGTCTGGGGTGCCTGCTTGGGGTGCTGTCTGGGGGTGCTATCTGGGGTTCTGTCTAGGGGTTCTGTCTGGGAGTGCTGTCTGGGGTGCTGTCTATGAGTGCTATCTGGGGGTGTTGTCAGGGGTTGCTGTCTGGGGTGTTGTTTGGGGTGCTGTCTGGGGTGCTATCTGTGGGGTGCTGTCTGGGGTGCTGTCTGGGGGTGCTGTCTGGGGTTTTGTCTGGGGTTCTGTCTATGGGTGCTGTCAGGGGTTGTTCTCTGGGGTTGCTGTTTGAGGGTGCTGTCTGGGGTGCTGTCTGGGGGTGCTGTCTGGGGTGCTGTCTGGGGGTGCTGTCTGGGGTGCTGTCTATTGGTGCTGTCTGGGGCGCTGTCTGGGGGTGCTGTCTGAGGGTGCTTTCTGGGGTGCTGTCTAGGGTGCTGTCTGGGGGTGCTGTCTGGGGTGCTGTCTATGAGTGCTGTCTGGGGGTGTTGTCTGGGGTTGCTGTCTGGGGATGCTGTTTGGGGTGCTGTCTGGGGGTGCTGCCTGGGGTGCTGTCTAGGTGTCAGCATAGTTGCTGATCCTCC